GTTGACTCTGAACACAAGCAACAGTGACTCCTCCAACACTAAGTGATCAGAGGTGACAGTATTAGGCTTGAAATGCTACTCAAGAAACAACGAAGACAAAAAGGACAAGACAGCCCTGACCGAAACTGAGGGCAACAAAGACACCGTGACAAAATGAGTGTCGGGCATCACACTGGCATCATGAGAAAAGATGAAATTGGGACACCAATAAACCAGACATCCACTAGCCATACAAATGGCAGTTGACAAACAAAAAATGCCAGATGATTAGGGCAGAGGAGGAGTAGGACAAACCAGCAAGTACTGTTAGGCTGTTCTGTTGAAAAATGCAGAGCCATGGAAAAATGCCCAGGCTTAGACACCTGGCAAGAAGGGCTGGAAGCCAAGACTGGGCTGGCCACCAAGGAACCAGAAGGATCACCCTCCCTAAATACAACTCCAGAATGGACAGAACCCAGAGCAACAACTGAACTGTGGGAATAAAAGTGAATGGACTTCCACTTCAACCAGTCCAGTCAGGAGTCCTGATTGGGGAGCAGAGCCACAGCGACGTGAAGAAATCCACCCCTAGGCAACCAAACGTCTATCAGATCCAACAGGACACATCATTGACATACAAATAGGACAGAAGCAAAACAACCATCTACTAGAATGTTGGACACACCCTTGCACATGAACTGCGTGGAGAGCTAAACCTCAAGAAACTAGATGCCAAGTGTCCAGCTCCACAAGGCAATGGACAGAAGCAACCCCTCTTGGTTCAGGCAATGAACCCCTGGATCGGAGTGGAGCCAGAGCACAGCACCTGAAGGAAGCCAAGTGGCATGCCACAGCTGTAAACTCATGCACTGTACTGTATGCCCAAAGGAATGGGCCCAACCACCGAACAGGATGATCTGGTGAGTGCTGGTCATGAAACTCCAACCTGGAGCCAAAGTGTCAATGAACACATCAAGCAACGTGGAAGAATGGCACTGTGGAACCAAACCCCCAAAAAGAAGCCAGCAAGACAGGAGAGAATGATGGGCAGGTGGGATCCAAATCTGCCAGTCCCAGAAATGGCAAAATGGTCAGAACCAACTGTTAAGCTGCTGTTTCAAGCGATGCTGCAGACAGCACAAAGCCGTCCACCAGAGGCAGGGGAAAGAGAAGTGGACAGAGTCACGAGGCAGGCCCAGCCAAGTGTGAAACTGGGATTTCTGCTAGCTATCCCTGGGTAGCTGACACACTGACTGGGAGCCCAAAGCAGCCAGTTGTTGAGGTAGGCCAACACATGAACCCCTAGAAGGTGCAGCCAAGCCACAACCTGCACCAACGTAGTAAACACAGGGAGCCAGATTTAAACCAAAAGGAAGAACCTTGAAGTAGCAAGCCTGATGCAACCACAAAACTTAACCAGTTTCTGAACCTGGGATGTGCCAGTATGTGTCCTTGAATTCTAGGGACACCATCCAAGCTCCAGCCTGTAAAACCAGGCACACTTGAGACAAGGTGGTCATGCGGAAAGTTGGACAGGGTATGAAGATATTCAAACCCGAAAGATAGAGGATGTATCATAGGTCTGCCGAGTCCCTCTTCGGGGCAAGGAACAATTGAGACACCAACTTAAAATAAACATCAATGTCTCCTCTCTGCCTCTTCCTCGCGCCCTCCTCCTTTTTCATGACACCATCTTCGACGCTGCCCTCCACTCTATTCCTCGCTCTACCTCCCTGGGCACGCGGAAGTGTGTTCCCTGGTGGAATGCGGACTGTGCTCTTGCTGTCCACTGTAAGCGTGCAGCCTGGAAGAAACACCGACACCGACAGACGACTGATTCTTTTATTTTGTTTCGGAAAGCAAGTGTGGTGGCCCGTAGGACGATCCGTACAGCTAAGCGTGCGAGTTGGAAATCTTACGTTTCCACCATTACGTCCGAAATTCCTCTACCACAGATCGGGAAGAAGATATGCAAGATTGCGGGTAAGTTCGTTCCAGACATCTCACCAGTTCTTCACCTCCGTGGTACTCTTGTGGCAGACCTAGTGCAGGTCGCGACCGAACTGGGTTCCGACTTTTCTTCTGTTAGCTCTGGTTCTCATCTTCCTTCTTCATAAGCCCGTTCTTGAATCTTACCCCTTAGATTTCTTTACTCATCTCCACCTTCCCTATAACAATCCCTTTTCTCTCTCTGAACTTCAGCTGCCCTGGCCCTATGTGGTTCTATGGCTCGGATGACATTCATTATGAGATGCTTCGCCATCTCCCCTCTTGTACGTCTCGGTATTTACTGAGCCTGTATAACCAGGTCTGGGAGTTGTCGTCAGTCCCTGAGGACTGGCTCGATGCCGTTGTACTTCCTATTTGGAAACAGGGGTCTCTCGGGACATCCCCTAAGGACTTCCGCCCTATTGCCCCTCACGAGTTGTGTCTGCAAACTCTTTGAATGTATGGTAAATGTTCGTCTGATGTGGTTCTTGGAACACCATCACCACCTCTCTCATTCTCAATTTGGTTTTTGCAAGTGCTGCAGCACAACTGATGTGTCCTAGTGAACTTGAAGGTCTATATTCGTACTGCTTTTGCTGCGAAGACCTCCGTTGTTGCTGCCCTTTTTGACCTGGAATAGGCTTATGACACAACCTGGAGATACCATATTCTGTCCCAACTTCATTTTTTTTTGGCCTTCGTGGTAATCTCCCTCTCTTCCTCTTTCGTCGTTCCTTTAGAGTCAGGCTTGGTACCACTCTCTCTGCCTCTTTTCGGCAATACGAAGGTGTACCCCAAGGTAGTGTTCTGAGCACTACTCTTTTTCTGGTTGCCCTCAATGGTCTTCTTTCCTCTCTTCCTTCTGGCATCTTCTCCGCTCTTTATGTCGACGATCTTACTCTTTGCTGTCGAGGTGATGATTCACCTCTCCTTCAACGGCGGCTTCAACTTGCGATTGATGCAGTGGCGTCTTGGGCCACCAATCAAGGCTTCAAGTTCTCTGCAACTAAGAGAACGTTCTCGAGAACTCTCAAGTTCTCTCAGTGCTATGACTTTTACTCGAAAGCATGTCGTCCTTCTTTGTCACTTTATGGTCATCTCCTTGTGTACAAAGATTCCGCGAAGCTTTTGGGGTTAATCTTTGACACTTGTTTGTCTTGGTTGCCCCATATCTTTTACCTCTGAGTTGAATGCTCTAGGGGCCCTTAACCTACTTAAGGTTTTGTCCCATACTTCTTGGGGAGCAGATAGGCGCACGCTCCTCTATTTGCAATCCTCTCGTCCTGTCTAAACTCGATTATGGTTGCCCTGCATACTCTTCTGCTTCTCCCTCTACTCTTCATGTCTTGATCCTTTGCATCATACTGGGTTGTGCCTCAGCTCTGGTGCCTTTCGTTCAACTCCTGTCCTCAGCTTGTACGCTGACACTGGCTTCCTATCTCTCCAGAACCGCCGTGGTCGCTACTGTCTTCGCTATCTTGCACGGTCCTTACAGCATCCTCATTCTCGCCTCTTGTCATGCTTTGACTTTGACTCCTCCTGTAGTTCCTGTTCCTCTTCACCACTTTCCTCTTTATGTCTGTTTGTCTTGCTTACAAGATTCTCGTTCGTATTACAAATGTTTCTCCTCGTATTGTTCCGTCCTTGCCCCTTCCCAAATTTTGTATGTCCCTGACCCGCATCACTAAAGCTTTTACGCCTCCTACTGTTCTGAAACGCCTTTTCCTTTGAGCACTTTTCTGTTGTTTTTCCTGAACACTTATATGTGTCGCCTTCCTCCGGAGGCTAGCATCTTCACAGCAGAACTTTATGATATTCTTTATGCTCTTCGTCTCCTGCTTTCTCATTGTCAGTCTTCCTCTGTGGTGATAGTTGACTCTCGTAGGGCTTTCATGGCTTTGGGGTCCTTTAATCCGGTCCACCCGGTAGTCATCGAGATTCAACATTGGCTGTTTCTTATCTCCAGTAAATTTAAGTCAGTAGAGTTTTGCTGGGTTCCCAGCCATGTTGGTCAATACAATACAAGGAACAATACAGCTTGAGGAAAAAATCATGCCTGACAACCTTTACTATTTTGTGACAAGTTCACTAAAATAAGGCAAAAAAATGATGAGTACACTGCTGCTTCCTAGACTGACCTGGTGCTACAGTACATAGTCTTCATGGCTTGGTGTCTTCTTTTGATAATTACTTCCTAGACTGCCAGAAACCTTTCTATAAAATTCATAAAAAAAAAAATGCACAGATGAAGAGTAAAATGGATAGTAGAAAATACACAGGGAGAAAGGAAGCCTTTAGGAAACGACACCATAAGAGGTAGACAAGAAACAATAAAAGAAAACAATGTGAACAGGATAACATTAGTGATATGGGAAGTTTGTGAACAAAAGAACAGCATATAAAAATATAAATAAGGAACTTAAAAAGTCCATATTCACTATGTACTATAAGGTAGGGACCTTGCAGGAAAGCTGCCTTTCAAATCTCCAGCCAGTGCAGAGTTAGTCTAATCACAGTGAGAGAACGACATTCTTTAAAGAGATGTAAACAAATACCAAATATTAAATGAACAAATCCAAAAGGACCGTGACGAGGGTTCGAAGCTACATCCGAGAGCATCCCAGACGTATGTTCAAACCCTCGTCACGGCCCTTGTGGATTTGTTCATTTGATGCATCACGCTATTGTGATTTTTGTGTGTAAAGTACCAAATATTGTTAAAAGAAACTATTCCAAGAACATTCTGTGACTTGAAAAGCATGTTAAAAAATATAACTGTTAAATGTGGAAAACCAGTTTTAAATAAATGAAAAAGAAATAGATGGGGGACCAGAAAACGTGTAAGGCACGAGCTTCTTGCTACTCGTCCTTACTGAATAAATGAGGGGAGGGCGATTATAATGATCACTAGGAACAGTAAGACTCGGTGTTATACTCGGTGATTCTAGGACATACCGAATACAGAGGTTATATTTCATACAATAAACTAGAGACCTCAATCTCGGGAAAGACTGTGGCAGTTAAACTCAGGGTTCATACAGGAGTTTATTGCTATAGTCAAACTTAAAGGTACAAGATATATCAGGAGCATGGCTGTAATGTGTACACACTATTGGAATAAAGACAAGATATATTACTAAGTCCTAAAACTTGGACTCTCCTTACAATAAAAAATATATATATATACAGTATCCCCCTAAGCTCCACTTGGTCACTACCTTGGTACACTGGAAAAGTGTACTTCTTGGATTTTATTACAGTTATCTTTCTTATTCACTGGGACTTGGGCACTGTTGCTAACCTCCAACACAACACGTGGCCCAGGCCAACCTACCAGATTACACGGCTACACAACATTACAGAAAATCACACAAACTATACCAGTCAACCACTGGGTTGACTGGTATATACACACTATACAACATTGTATATAAATACAATATATCCTACTTCTATCATAGAAATAGCACCACAAATTAATGTCTATTCTAGTTACTATATCATGTAGGGTGCCCCTCCGACTTGAATCAATAATTAGGGAGATCTGCACAGCACCGCTGCTGAGAGAAGTCAACATCCACTGTTCACACTCTCCCTCCATCCTGGGGTTCCAGCATTTTTCTGGTCCCCATCTATTTATTTTTAATTTATCTAGTTTAAAACTGGTTTTCCACATGTAACACATTTTTCAACATGCTTTTCCAGTCACAGAATGTACTTCTGTAACTGGAAACGTATGACATAATTGGACATAGTTTGAATAGTATCAATAGTTTGGAATAGTTGTTAACAATACAGTATATGGTACTTGTTTACATCTTTTTGGAGAATATCGTTCTCTCACTGTGATTATAGACTAACTCTGCACATGTGCTGTTGGGTGCACTGGCAGAAAATTTGAAAGGTAGCTTTCCTGCAAGGTCCCTTCCTTACAGTAAGACCATTACTAACCTAACCTAATTCTAGGTACTGCACTGTACTGTGATTCCTTAGGAAATGTAACCTCACAGCTTTCAAGTGAAAAATTACTGGGAACAAGATCCGGACATCAAATAGTGACAGAGTGGACAAGGGCAGCCAATTTAAATTGAGATTGTTGGACAATATGACTGGAATCTGGATATGCAACTAAACTGTAGAAATGTACAGAAATTGTTGTACCCTTCACAGACAATTGTCAACTGGACTGCATTAACATAAGTTCTCAAGTCTCTTCTAGTATCTCTTCCTTCCATATATTTTCACTAATATCTTCAATATATTAATAAATCTTTTGGAGGTTTATTTATTTAGTGAGAATTTTATTCCTGCACTATTCATTTCAGCAGTGATTTACAGGTCTAAGAGAAAACTAAATGAATAGCCATCAACATTTATTAGATCACATAATTAACAGTCATTTTTTTATAATTTTCTAGATATATTAGGCTTTCCAGATAATCACATTCAGAAACTTATCATGAGAACTATTACCTCCTTAAAGTAATACTTCTAATGCTTCCCTTTACCTCCACCTTTCCCTTTACCCCCACCTTTCCCTTTACCCATAAACTTTCCTTTGCCCCCAACTTTCCCTTTACCCATAACCTGCCCTTTGCCCCCACTTTTCCCTTTACCTAGCATTTTACCCCCAAACTTAGATTTCATGCCAATATTTCCTTTACCCTTTGATTTGCCTTGAGCTTTATGAACACCTTTGCCCAGTTTGACAGCTCTATGATCAGAGGTGGTGCGGTGTCGGCCTCCCATTTTGGATCTTCTCGAGTGTTTCTTCCCGCCCTTGCGATCAAGATCCATTCTGAAAGGTAGAAGCAGCTTTGGTTTATATATATAATTCATACATACAAGATAACCTACTTTTTCTAGGACAACTATGATAAGCTATGCATGGTATAGAAAAAATTATTTGTTATTTAACTACAGTATACCACCTCCAAGATCCTGTCTTGTATAATATGCAATAGCTCTTTCTAATACATGTACTAGCCATAATTAATACATCAAGAAAATAGTAGTCTATCAATATGTACAGTACATACAATCATGAATATTTTGTATAGATTGAATGAAACTACTACTGCTACTACTACTACTAATAATAATAATAATAATTTATGTACTTACAGTACATTCTCATCTCTGATCTGCTTGTGGATTGCTCCATCCAGATTAAGATTTGGCTTATCCATCTTTTCAAGAACTTCCATGTACCGTTTCTTCTCTGCCTGTCCATCACCTGTGGTTTCTTGCTGCTTACGTTTTTTACCCAGGCCTTTCATTTTCTTCTCATCTGGAAGGGCTGGCTGAAACTTGCCTAATGAAGCTGTTGCAGTTCGTGCATAATGCATAGCTAATCCCAACTGAAATACATAGGTAATAGTGAACAAAAAAGTTTACAAATCTAAAGGTTGGATATAATAATACTGAACAAATTCAGTCCTTATCACTGCTCAGTATTTAGGAAACAATACCATGCATTAACATTTCTAACTACTCCACCAGGATCCATAATTTCCTTTATAACATAATATATTCCATCTAAAACCATTCATTTAAATATCTTCAATATACAACCAATATCACACTTACATCTTTCGTTGATGCATATTCATTCCCAGTGACACCAACATTGGGAACCTTCACTTTTCTGTGCTTGGCTATATTTCGCAAGCGTTGGAACTCGTTTTTGGCTATGTTTTCCTTTTTTATCTCTGCTACTTTAGCAAACTGATCCTCATATGGATCTCCATGATCTGGTACTTCTTTAACCCAGTTCTTCTCTTTTTCTGCTTGTACTTTACGATATCCAAACCGAGGAACCCAGCGCTGTAAGGATAGAATACTAAACACTGAATTTACATTATTCTTCCCAACATTATAACATACAAATTTTTAACAAAAATAACTAGCACAAGTTTTTATATCTTTTATAAATAAATCCATTTAAAATATAAAATTAAGGAAAAAAATCATTGTAATCATGAATCAATACTCAAAAGTAACTATTCCTAGATTAGAGTGGAATGTTATCTCACGTTTCCATTCCATGACCGTTATATGGAACAAACTACTGCCTAAAACATTCCTAACACACTAAATTTCTAACCTTTCAAGCACCCAGTGGAATCTACTACCTGAACTGGGAGAAAATAATGACATCATAGTAACATTACACACCTTGTGCATACTGTATACATATATAACATCTTATTGTGGTTAGGTTAGGATTAGATAAATTAGGTAAGGTTGGATTAGGTTGGGTTTACTTCAATAGTAGAGATGACATAGGGTGGCAGAAATTTGCTTAGGTCTTAAACCTACTCCAAGCACCTGAAGATAACTAGTGGATAGTACTGTAGATGATTATTTTTGGGTGGGCATAATTGTCTTTGTTGTAGTCTATTCTGTACTAAATACAGTATATGCAGACAAGCTACATGTACACAAACTGGAGAGATAAAAGTCAAATATGAACGTATAGATATAACTCATATGGTTTAGTTACTTGATACAATAATCACCCTGCCACCACACCTTAAGTGTACACATATACCAATAATGTAAATTATTATATGTATCTTGAAACAGTTAAAGTTTATATATATATATTAACTAAGTCAGTGCTACCAAACTTTCTTGGAAAGGTTTCAGTTTATTACCTTGACAACATCATCCCAAACTTTCTTGTCTTTTTTCTTCCTCTTAAAGCCCTTTTCACGGGCATATTGCTCCCATTTTGTTAGTGTAGTGCCTTTAGGTACAGGTTTTTCTCTTGGTAATCTGCCACATCAAGGAGAAAACAAATGCAATAGTTTTAATTTAAGTATATCACTCAACACTTTATATAATATCAAAAGCCAATATTTATTTAGCAAAAAAAAAAAAAAAGTTAGGACAGCTAAAATACATTCCACAAACAAGCTGAAAAACTTAAAATGTTTTAATAACACATTTGGCATAGGCCTAGTGAAAACAAACATTATTTTTAAACCTTATTCAATAAAAAAAAATTAAAATTTGTTTAAAATCAAACTATTATATATAACTACAGTATTTTGGAAACCCACCTGGTGATTGGCTTCGGTAATGTTACATATATTGCATTATCAATCTGCTCCGATGGCAAATCCCAAACTTTTGTCAGGAGAGCTTGTATGCCATCACGAGCTAAACTGCGCAGGTAAGCATCACCTTCATCTGCATCTCTGTAATATAATATAGTACTGTACTGCCATAATAATGTATACTAAAAATCATCACCTAGAGCAACCCTATGAAGCAGTGGATCATTAATTATACACTACTTTAAAAAGCCTCCCTACCTTGAACTTTTTATAAACAGTATATCTTACTTTATATGTAATTAATAAATTACTGATGAGCATGCAAATATACAAACAGTACTTTATGAAACAAAAAAATTAGTTCTCTATTTAAATTAAAGTGTAATGCACACATACACACGCTTTTGACAGGCAATCATAGTAGCTCCATCCAAGGTACTGTATTCCGATTCTATAGTAAAGGCTAAATAAAGCCAATACTTCTGTAAGTACATTCATTGAAAATAAATTTGGAAGCATGTATAGGAATGCACATGCTTGTACATTGTACATGCATGTACATTCCATAGGAATGTACATGCTTCCAGGCCATTACATGTACATGTAATGGCCTGAATGCATACACATTCAGGCTATTAAAGTAGCCTGCTCTGAGCACTCTAATTTTTTCAAAGTAAACATAATCAGCTCAACATTCCCCACAATATAAGAAATTGGAGATCTGGGCTGGATATACATCTTTTTATAATGCTCTTCACCAAGAACTAAACAAAAAAATTAAGCACCCAGTGATGTAATGGTAACAACACTCACAACACTAGCAAGAGAAACTACCCAAAATTTATCATGAACAAACTGGAACAATTAAGCAATGCTAGTTTTAATGTGCATCCTGCAGTGTTAAATTTGATTTGTGTGTGATTATATAGGTTTCATATGTGGACACTTCTTCTACAGTACTGTATAATGAATGAAGAAGCATTGTGCAAATTGGTGACCTAGGGCATGTTCACAAATGCAGCCCATCCTCCTGTTTGGATAGTAATATTAGTACTGATGTGGACTTTTAGTTCACTTAATTCAGAGAAAAATCCAAATCACTGGGATTTGCAGTTTTTTTTTACGAAACGACATGCCTTTATTTATAGCACAATTACATTAAAACAATTGAAAAATATTAAATATTATAACAATTATTGATTGTTGAAACTGTATATAATCTGCATGGTACATTTTCCTGATAAAATATGAGTTTTTTCGTCTGGTGATCTTCACACCATGCCTTAAGTGGATCAGACACCTCAAACTTTCCTACCTGTGTGTTACACCCGGCAGTCCGGAACCAAAAAGTTTTCTTTCCAAACTTTTTTCCTTTAATGCAAACTTGGATAATATTTTACCAAGAACATGTCTGATAGCAGCAGCAATCAACATGGAAGTGTAAGCAAGTTACTTTAACAATTATGAATAAGCATAATCACTTGTGAAAATGGCCATGCCAATTTGTGTTGCAAAAGAATTTGGGAAAGGTATGAGTATTGTCTGATATTAGGAAGAGCAAACAAATACTGTACAAGCACTTGTACAATAACTTTAAGGGTTAGGCTAGATTAATGTACAGCTTTCAAATCTATCATTGATCAAGAGGTTAATTCCTCCAAGTTGAAATTCCTGTTGCCGTTCTATTTTATTTATTTATATGACGCTTCTCCCCTAATAACATGAAAATATGAACTGTTATACAAAGCAATGGAAATTTCTTAATTTTTTAAACATGTCATAAGAAATTCAGCTAATTCAACTTGGTAACCTGGGGCATGCAGTTTGTGTGAAAGTTTTATCCTCCCATTGATAATCTTCAGTCAGGTCTCACATACACAGGGTAGACAAGGATGGATTATTTAACACAGGTAGTCATACACAAGGGGGCACAGGTGGAAGCTGAGTATTCATATGAGCCACAGAGACATTAGAAAGAACTTTTTCAGTATCAAAGAAGATAGTAAATGGAATGCACTTGGAAGTGATGTGGTGGAAGTAGACTCCATGCAGTTTCAAATGTAGATATAATAGAGCTCGAGAAGGTAAGGAATCTGTACACCAGTAGATTGAAAGTTGAGAGGCGAGACCAAAGATCCAAAGCTCAACCCCCGCAGCACAAATTTATTTTTTTTTTTTTTATTTTTTTTTTTTTTTGAGATATATACAAGAGTTGTTACATTCTTGTACAGCCACTAGTATGCGTAGCGTTTCGGGCAAGTCCTTAATCCTATGGTCCCTGGAATACGATCCCCTGCCGCGAAGAATCGTTTTTTCATCCAAGTACACATTTTACTGTTGCATCTATGAAGAAACCTACATCACAAAACCTGTCCTAACGTAACAATTTTGTTTTGAGTATAAAGTGAGAAATGTAACTTCATACAATTAATCCCAGGGCAGTTTTCAGATACTTCTTCCAGCTGGACATTCACACTAGGCTCACCTGATTAACTTTTCATCGAGCGTGTTCTTATCTGTCACCAGCAAGTTCCCCAAGTCATACTCTAGCTGTATGTCCTTATGTACTTCAACAACCTTCTGCTCCTCACTGGCCTTGGTGATAATCTCGTGGACTAGGGCAGCAGCAGTGTCTCCCATGATGGATTTGTTTACACCACGAGGCTCGGGCAACGTTCCTCTACCGCCTATCCAATCCGGATAGGCGGTAGAGGAAGAACGGCACCCACAGGAACAGCTTTAGCTGTAATATTACAAATTACAACCACAATTTTAACCTCAAAAATTGTATGATATTGATAATAACATACTGTACTTTATTTAGAAATAATATGCATTGTAAAAAACTGGACATATGCAGGCACAGCGATTTGGCAAAAATGTTCCACTCAAAATCGAGAATTTCTACTTCGAATCCAAAGGTTGGGCGCGTTTCCTATCATCTAATGCTCCTGTCCACCTAGCAGTAAATAAGAACATAAGAATGAAGGTAAGATACTGTGTAATAAAAATAGGTTTTCCCTCATATATAAATTAATATTATACAATAAAATTCAATGTATAGTTAGACGTACACAAAGTTAGGTGTTTAAGTTCTGTTGGTGATTATTAGGCGATTAGGTTCTATTCTAACCGAAACACTATGCGTGTTTTTGCAAGGTTTTGCAAGAATGTAAGAACACCAATGTTATGTATTCTCACAAACCCAATGTACATTCTTGTATGTAAATAATAATAATTATTATTATTATAACTATAATTGTTATAATAATAATAATAATTATTATTATTAATTATAATAATAATAATAATAATAATTAATAATAATAATAATAATAATAATAATAATAATAATAATAATTAATTATAATAATAATAATTATTATTATTATTAATTATAATAATAATAATAATAATTATTATTATTATTAATTATAATAATAATAATAATAATTATTATTATTATAACAATTATTATAATAATAATATAATAATAATAATTGTTATTATTATTATTATTATTATTATTATTATTATTATTTGTTGGTGTTGGTTTAGGGGCCGCGACGACAGAGACCGTATGGGCTCCAAGGGGAGGGAACTATCAGGGGAAAGCGCCAAGCCATCACGACTATATAGCACTGGGAAGGGGTCAGGATAAGGATTTGGGATGGGGGGGGGGAAGAAATGAGGTCCACTTAGATAGTCGGGGATTGAACGCCTACCTGTATATAGCGAGACCTTCGCTCTACCGTCCAGCCCAAGTGGTTGGGCCGTATGGGCCCCAGCGTATCCTTGAAGGATACACCAACGGCCAAAAATCGTCGTACTAGAAAATGGAAGCGGCTCGCGAATTTGACATACTGCCCCATTTTCTGTTTAGGGTCCTCTAGTAGGTTATGATAGGGCACTTCTAGTACGAAAGTTTCTTGACTGGTGAACTTACGAACCCTGTCACTACAAAAGTAATGTAACCTAGGATTCAACTGAATCCTCTAAGGTTCCTGAGGCATCCAGCTGACACTAAATCAGGGTTTCACACATTACCCGCATACACTCAAGTGTGGTATGGGAGTTCTACCACACAAGGCGTGTGCTTGGGAGTACCCAGTGGCAGGTTCAAATCTTCATGACGCCTATGGATTTTTTTATATATTTTCGCTTACCTATGCACCTCATGCGTAATTACATTTGCATATTTTCTTGCCCATGCAGCCATATAATCTTACCAACGCATAGCATGTGCAATAAAAGTGTATCTGTCGTATTAGTATAGAGCTATTATTGTAGCGGATGGATGCTCGCTTGCACCGCTCGCATTCAGCGAGCGGCGAGCATTCAGCACCGCTCCTGTGCCACGTAAGTCCACTACGGGCTCACCATAGCCCGTGCTACTTGCCCCGCTCCTGTGCCAGGTAAGTTACGGGCTCACCATAGCCCGTGCTACTTGGAACTTGTTCCGAGTAGCTGAATCTATAACAACAACAGCTCGCTTGATTGTTATTGTTTGGTGACCGGCAGATCAGTTGTGTCGTGCGTGTAATTCAGGTCGACTCCTGCCTGGTTCATCCTTGACGACGAGCGGACTTCGGTACGTGTGCCCCCAGCCCTGGTGTGCCCTCAGACGTGGTGGACTGCCAGCATCTGCTCTGCTGGAGGGCACCGGATAACTTTTTTGCGTTTTAATGTGGGCCGAGATTTTGGTTTTGCTGCCCATTGCTTGACCCTGAGGAACTCCGGGAGCTCCCCAATCATCTGCCCGACTGCGTTTCTTTGACGCGAGGCATCTTAGTTTTTGGTGTTACACGTCTTCGTTTCGCCATTAGGATTTGCGATTACTATACGGGTACGCCGGGGCGCATCTGATCCCACCATCGTCGTCGCCCTTAAACAACAATAACAATAATTCAGGTCGGTAGAATGTGCTCTCTTAATTTCTGTTTGTCGTAGCTTTAGTTATATGTAGTTTGCATATTTATTTATTTATATTTATTTATATATATACGAGAAGGTACAATAGGTTTATGAGAGTACATAGCATTGATGGTTTTACATTCTTGTACAGTATAACCATTAACGCATTGCGTTTCAGGCAGGTCCCTGGGTCAGATAATTTTAAGTAGGTAATTTCTAGCAATTTTTTTTAACAGATACATTGTAAGACAATTTGACAAAGATTATTAGGTGCATTAAAGTAAAATTTGAGGGTTATCAACAGGTACATTTTTGCATAATTTGAAGATTATTTCAAGGTATAATGCAGTAAAATATGCGTTCAATATAACAACCATGATATGATAGCAATGATTACAGTGGTAAAGTTGTATGGCTTTGGTACGTATTTTAGGGCAGTGGGTAGCACTAGATGCAGTGCGAGTTTAAAGCACTAGGTAGGAAACTATGAAGATGAAATTAGGTACTTTTTGGTTTGAGTTTTTAATAAGGCAAAAGTTGGACAGCTTTTCAATTCGTAATGGAGTGAGTTCCATAGACCAGGTCCCTTTATTTGCATAGCTATTGTTATTGTGAATACTCGTACTTATTGTTCTAGTGAATAGTTAGTTTAGTTCATTTATTATGCATCCCATATCCATCCTGTGGGCGGTAGTGGAAAGTGTTTCAGAGGCACATAATGGGCTCAGGGACTGAGCCCCACAATTCATATAGCTAAGCAAGTTACAATCTTGATGAACTAGTTACAAAATTCAATGCACATCGTCACATCAACAATGGGTTCGAGACCGACCACAAGTACAGTTTCTAATTTAACTAATTAAACAATTGATATGTTTATCCTACACACCGCCCACCATCCAATGGGCAGCCGTGGATAGGTTACAATCACTCAGATACTACCTACAGTTAGCAAACTGGGGATATTTTGCCAAGACTTCTGGCAGTAGATCATTTTTAATTAAATATTTACACATCTCTTGAACATTTGTTAGAGCGTTGTCTTTGAATTCACGTATCTTTCCGCACTCCATCACATAGTGACAGAGGGTGTGCGAATAATTTTGTTGACACAATTTACATTTGGTCAGGTCTACATCAGCAGATAATGAAAATTCCCAGAGAGAGTCTGCTGATTTTATTGGATGATCCATAGATGTGTGGCTCCTCTTGCATGATAGTATGATGATAGATGGAATTCCTGGTGTCGATTTCACTGTACCACGTATCGACAAGATTTTGTTGAAGTTCTTGGTGTATTATTGCTCTCAGACTGCTTATTGACAATCCAAGGTTATACTCAATTTCTCCTTTAAAGGCATATTCTTTGACTAACTCATCAGCTCTTTCATGCATTTGGAGGCCAACATGAGATGGAGTCCACATGAAATAATCTCTGTTCCCATCGTTAATAAATTTGTTGTATTTGTGTCTAGCTTCAGACACAAGCATGTTACAGTTATGTCTTAAAGAGTTGAGAGCAATTAAGGATGATAAAGAGTCATTTACAGTTAATGTATCAATTTTAGAGACTTGTACACATTTCAGTGCAAGAAGCAAGGCAAATAGTTCGGTCTGAAGGGTAGAGGCCCAATTACTTAGACGGGCTCCCCACTCAAAATATAAGCCATCGCCCATTGCCAGAACAGCTGTACTTCCAGCTGCACCCGTTTGGCGCTGTAGGGAACCATCAGTGTATTTGATTTGAGAGAGAGAATGCTCTGTGGAGAGAGCATCAGTATGGTTTAAGGCGTTGAGCTTTGCCTCAAGACGAAGCTTGGGCTAATCTTTAATTTGCGTCTTGGGTGGAAAGGGAGGGATTAAAATTGGAAAGGGTGTAATCTCCCACGGTGCAGGAAAGTGCCGTTGTGTCTCTCTTCGTACAAATTATAAATCTGATACATTCTGAGTTCAGTTCCAGTTTTAGTTATTCATTTAGAACAATATTGACCTTCAATAAAGAAATTCTGGAGGGCTTCTGTGCAAGGGTTAGGATGAGCTAGCCTAAGCATTTTTATACCAATTTGACAGTTAATTTCAGTAACACGATCAATGACGCTCGGAATATTAAGTTCCTTTCTCATGTTAAGTATCTTTGTGATACGAGGGCACCCAAGGATTATCCTCAAGGCTTCGTTCTGCAATTTTTCAAGCCGTCCAAGCTTTCTTTCAGGCATCAAGGCAAGCAGAGGTGCAGCATAATCCACTAAAGATCTAATGTATGCAAGGTACATCATTTTGACAATTCTGACATTGGCACCATAGCCTGAGTGATAACCTGCAACAGCATTGAGAGCTCTGAGCCTCTCTTTATACTGACGACAGAGTCTGAATACAACTGGACCATACAGTGGCACCTCAAGGCCAAGGTATTTGAATCTATTAACATAGTCAAGCTGGGAGCCATCATACAGTTGCATCTTGCAAACAGCTCCTCCCTGCCTGGGTGGGCACCGATTTAGTATCTTGTTTTCTCTGCTGAGGTGACTAAACCTAGGTCCTGACATGAGTCTAATACAGAGTTAAGAGTGTTCTGCGTGTTAGCATACCCATTGATGTGTATCATTATATCATCAGCATAGCTATTGATATGCACGTTGGGTTTGCTCGGTACAGAGTTTAACATCGTGTTTATTAAGATATCAAATAAGGTAGGACTGAGGACACCTCCCTGTGGGATGCCTAGTTCGAAATCTCTTGTTACACTCCTATGCCCCCTGGAAATACACAGACGACCTCCTGTTGGATAAGTAACCTCTGATCCAACAAAGAAGGCGACCACCAATATTCATTCTTGCAAGCTCACTCAAGATAACATGTCGATTTGCAATATCAAAGACAGACTTGAGATCTAGGAAGGTGGTATATGACTTTTCAGTGTTTCAGGGTAAGAAAGGTGGTGATGCAATGATGCACACTCCTTCCATGCATGAAGCCATATATCTGGGGGAGATAGCAGGGTTCTTATTCTATGGAGGAGACAGTTTAGGATAATTCTCTCGAATGTTTTGCAAATGCAGCTAGTAAGGGAAATTGGGCGGAAAGCATTCTCTTAATTTGTCTTGGGAATTGGAATGATTATACTGTTGGTCCAAGAGATTGGAAGTTCCCCAGTAACATAGCTCATATTATACAGCTCAAGAAAGGGATTCCCTGGTACTAAAGGGAGCAAACGCAGTATGTCATAAGTGATACCACCCTCACCGGGGGATGTAGCTTTACCTTTGTTTAGGGCCGAAAAAATTCAAATTCAGTAAATGTCATGTTGCATTGCTAGACCGGGTGAATGTAGGCAAAGCGCTTATTCACCTCAGCATGTATATACACCATAGAAACGCAATATAAACATGCATACCCACCCCATAGAAACTCAACATTTACGTATATACCCACCTATATAAACGCAACTAACCACTTTTAAACACAATATACAACAATAGGGAACATGGAAACAATTCAGAATTCATACAATTTAATGGTTGTATAGTCTTATTATACAATTACACTATAAAACTGGACAACAGGCCATGTATTTAGGTACAAAGTGCCTTGCAGAGTTCCTCGACTAGATATTTACAAACAATTTATATTGTTCTACAGCTAAGCTAAAGACGCTGAGATGTATGGAATGATAACGTTTCCGCCACCGTAACATCAAATATGATAGTGAAAAGCAGTAACTAGCTGTGAATAATGAATACACGGGATATACTTAACTTTTACTCTGTGACCAATGAATTCCCGGATATACTTGACCATGACTCGATGACCAATGAATAACCGGGGCATATTTAACGATTACTTGATAAACAATGAGTACTCAGGGCATACTTGACGATAACTCAGTAAATAATGAACACCCGAGGCATATTAAGTGACGATAATTCGGTGAACATTGAATATCCGGCCATACTTGACGATTACTTGGTGAACACAATAACCAGGGTATTCTTAATAACTGTGGACAATGAATAACCGAGACAAAGTAGCTGTATAAACAATGAATAACGGGAGCATACTTAACAGTAAATCAGTGAACAATGAATAACCGGGACATACATAGTAACTGTAAACAATGAATAACTGGAACATACTTAACAGTAACTCAGTGAACAATTAATGACCAAGCATTTTTAACCTAGCTCGTTGAACTATGAATAGCAAATATAACGAACAATATCCATGTAATGGTGCCAAAGAAGTACATTACTCCTGCAATAAGGAGTATTACATTACATTATGCATACTAGGCTTGAATAAATGTTACTCCAGGAACTTATTTTTTCATAGCAGTGTCTTCTACACAGGCTAGGTTTTAAATGTTTCTCCAGGTATTAATTTTGTCAAAGCAATGTGTTTGCACAGGCTAAGATGACTAAATGTTCCCCCAGGTACTCACTTTGTCAAAGCAGTGCGTCCGCACAGGCTAGGCTTGGCTAAATGTTTCTCCAGGTATTAATTTTGTCAAAACTGTGTGTCTGCAAAGTCTAGGCTTGAATAAATGTTCCTCTGGGTACTCATTTTGTCAAAGTAGTGTGCCTGCACAGGCTAGGCTTCACTAAAAGTTCCTCCAGGTACTAGTATGTCTCCACAGGCTAGGCTTCACTAAAAGTTCCTCCAGGTACTCATTTTGTCAAACCAGTGTGTCTGCCCAGGCTTGGCAGTGTTGCTACTCATATTCGTTTCGATGTATACCCATATATACGTTCGATGTATAGCTTGTACTTATAAACCCAACTATATTTTATCCCCAATAAGAAAAACCACACACCATAAGTTACCCTTTATACCTGTCCCTGAAGAGTTTTACCCCCAAGATTATAACATATGTCAAAACTTGGTATACATAGCAAAGGGATTATCTACAAGGCTAATATGGAGGTCGTCTTTGATCAGATTTGGTTGATTGGGCATCAGGCTGAAGGCTCACTCTGTCGCAGTCTCCGTCGTGTCGTCGACCTTGCCAAAGTTGTCGTTGAGAGAATAGAAGGTGGTGGCCACTGAGCAATCCACATTGATGGCATGGTCGCACACGAAGTATTCCTGAGAAAGCATGAAGCCATTAAGATTTAAATGCAGTTTTTAACAATTAAGAGCTGCATTAGAACTTAAAAATGTTTTCCCATAACTGTTCGTCAGAATTATTGTTATATCGGAGGCTGTGTTATTGGCAATCGGTTTCAATAGAAGAATGTATTAATTTTATAACATTTGTCAAGTTAAGCGTAGGAGCATTGGTTTATATTCAATTGAAAACTCACCGGTAAAGGGTATGTAAAGGTTACGCCACGGGAACAAGTTACAGGTGTAAGAATATATGGGACTCACAACCCAGGGGGGGAGGGACAAGTTACAAGAATATGGGACTCACAACCCAGGGAGAGGGGGGGGGACAAGTTACAGGTATATAGGACTCACAACCCAGGGAGAGGGGGGGGACAAGTTACAGGTATATAGGACTCACAACCCAGGGAAAGACAAGTTACTGTACAAGTATAGAGAATACACAGGACTCACGACCCAGGGTGACAAGTTACAGGTATATAGCTCTCACGATATATACTCACGAATGGGGTCGTGAGTATATATGTAGGACTTTCGACCCATAGAAACAAATTACAGGTGTAGAGAATATATAGGACTCACGTCCAAGGAGGACAAGTTATAACTGTCAGAATATACAGTATATAAGACTCACGACCCAAGGGGGACAAGTTACAGGTTTAAAAGTATATATAGGGCTTACAACCCAAAGGCACAAGTTACAGGTGTATGTATATATATAGGACTCACGACCTAAGGGGGAAAAGTTACAGGAGACAAGTTAGAAGGACACAGCAAGTTAAAAGCAAGTTACCCTAATGTACCTAGTAATCCTTGTCATTGTAGTGTATTAATCTAATCTTTGTTTATTGTGTCAAAATTTCTTACAATGTAGCTGTAAAAAAATTTTGTAAATTTTGTTGGAAATTATCTACTTAAAATTATCTGTTAGACTAAGGACTTGCCCGAAACACTATGCGTGCTAGTGGCTTTACAAGAATGTAAATTCATCATCATTGCTATGTACTCTCTTAACCCCCAATGTACCTTCTTGTATATAAATCAATAAATAAATAAATAAATAAATAAATAAAATACATTGGCTTTGATCACGGTGTGTGATAACCTACAGGGGAAACAATAGGATCACAAGAAAATTGTAAAACAAAGTAGGTCTAGTGTCCTGTAAGTTCAGTATTGTACACACTTGAAAATGTTTTAATCGTTCACTATAATTATAAGCGCTCCTTTTGTGGGAAATGTCATGGGATAGATCGTGAAAATTGAAGGGCGGGTTTTTATGTGTGTCGAATAGTGTTGGCAGGTTCCTGTGTGTGTCGAAGTGTTGGCAGGTTCCTGTGTGTGTGTCGAAGTGTTGGCAGGTTCCTGTGTGTGTCGAAGTGTTGGTAGGTTCCTGTGTGTGTCGAAGTGTTGGCAGGTTCCTGTGTGTGTCGAAGTGTTGGCAGGTTCCTGTGTGTGTGTCGAAGTGTTGGCAGGTTCCTGTGTGTGTGTCGAAGTGTTGGCAGGTTCCTGTGTGTGTGTCGAAGTGTTGGCAGGTTCCTGTGTGTGTGTCGAAGTGTTGGCAGGTTCCTGTGTGTGTGTCGAAGTGTTGGCAGGTTCCTGTGTGTGTGTCGAAGTGTTGGCAGGTTCCTGTGTGTGTGTCGAAGTGTTGGCAGGTTCCTGTGTGTGTGTCGAAGTGTTGGCAGGTTCCTGTGTGTGTGTCGAAGTGTTGGCAGGTTCCTGTGTGTGTGTCGAAGTGTTGGCAGGTTCCTGTGTGTGTGTCGAAGTGTTGGCAGGTTCCTGTGTGTGTGTCGAAGTGTTGGCAGGTTCCTGTGTGTGTGTCGAAGTGTTGGCAGGTTCCTGTGTGTGTGTCGAAGTGTTGGCAGGTTCCTATGTATGTCGAATAGTGTGAGCAGATTCCTGAGTGTGTTTACTAAAAGTATCGAGCTCTTTTGTTCCTGCATTTGTATGGTGGTGTAACACGATCCGCAGCAGGTTACCTGGTTGAAGAGAGTCTGGTTGGGGCAGAGGAAGGACCACTTGAGGTCGTTAAGGCAGATGTGGAAGGCCTGGCAGTCGGCTTCGACGTCAGCGTAGTACCCGTAGGGGCGCTCCTCGCACGAAAAGGTGGTGTCGGGCACTGCTTTCAGGAAGGGCAGCACCTCTTGGGTGGCGACTGTCCCCGCTGTCACCACTACCACCAGGGATGCTGTACGGTGCATCAACCCCACCCGGGGGAAAGTTATTATCACTGGGAAACGGTATCATAAATTATGGGAATTTATGGACAGCATTTTGTGATGAAATTGCATTCGTAAATTGTTATCAGTGAATTTGTTTAATTTATGTTGTTTGAGTTCTAATATAGATACTTTATTAAAAAAAATTGTGGATGACAGGAAAATTAAATGTTTTGATATTAACTAGCGGCTACCAGATGTACTTTAAAGGTGCTATGTTTGATACTATATATTATACCTCTGATGCTGCCGATGTTGCTGTTATTAATGATATTACATTTGCTGTTGTTGATATTATATAACTACTGTTTTTGCTCAGCTGCTAGCTGTTGCTGCTCCTTGAGAATGTCGCCAGGCTCTTAAGTTTGTCTTAATCATTATGTTCTTTTTTCAGAGTCTAGGGAGTCTTTCTTAGTATATAGGGGTATTTGTAGCATATAGTGGGGTTTTCTCAGAACATAAGGGTATCTAGTATCTTTCTAGTATCTATTGTGGGTCTTTTACATAACATAAAGGTCTTTTTAGCACATGTGGGGTCTTTTTTAGCGCCTGTGGTCTTCGTCATTGCTCAGTGACTGTTTTTGTCACTCCACTTAGTCTTTGTCTTCAGGTCACTGGAGGTTGTTACAGCAACTGCTCTCCCGTTAAATACTCACCTAGCAGGATCCTCATGTCTTCTGTGTGCCTAGAGAAGATAAAATATAATATTACAACTACTACTAATTAATGCTAATAATAGTAATAACAATATGATGTAGAACTCACATAAAACATTTAGGTCACTCTCCTGTAGGCTTCCGGTTATTTCAAAATATTATTAAAACTAACTGCTTAAACCAACCAAGATCACTCATTTCTTGGTTAAAATTTGGTTGATGCTGCAGACACCAAACAGTGAGGGATTCACCGTTACTTTGATAAACATAACGTAACGTCATAATCTAAAACGTAAATTGTGAAAGCTGAAAAGGCCTTACATACGGCGAGATACTGTGCACACCATAGGCTCCTTGCAACGGTTTGTGCAGAATCTAAGGTAAGGAAGTGGCTAAAGGAAACCTACCGTGTCACCCAACCTAGCCTAATGGTGGGAATTTACCCTGAAAAAAACGAGAGGAAGTTGGCGGTGAACGACCATTAATCGTTTCCTATCTGTACCTCAAGTATTTTGCAGCCTAACCACGACCACGCATCGACTATGCCGTTGGAAGTTAATAATAAATTATCACTTTTCTTTTTAGCTTTAATGCATTCGTATAATAACTTTTTCACCATTAAACAGTTGCGTCAAAAGAAACTGGAATTAACGATACACGGCAGCCAAATGAGATTTTGTTTTTCCCTGGAGAGCATGAGGGTGAACGCTGGCAGTGACGGCCACACGTGCATCACCGCCAGCACCGTTACTACACTCACCAGGCGTCTCGCTAGCTTCCTGGCCACTCTGCTTACCACTACACCGTTGTTTTAGTGTGGAGGTGCTCACCTATAGGTGCTGGCAAGGTGAGCATCAGCTCGGGGGCCGCACTTTGGTGTCGCCGGTCGTTCATTATAATGGTTCCCGATTGATTGATTGATGAAGATTAAGCCATCCGAAAGGTGGCACGGGCATGAATAGCCCGTAAGTGGTGGCCGTTTTGAGCCATTACCAGTATCGAGAGCTGATACTGGAGATCTGTGGAGGTGCCACTGCACCCAACGTGACGGGAGATGTCTCCCGTGGTTCCCGATTGATTGATTGATGAAGATTAATTAATAAGCTACCCAAGAGGTGGCACGGGCATGAATAGCCCGTAATGGTTCCTGACCTTTTTGCTTATCATATATGCTCTCATATTTAGCCTCAGTTTCTTCCCTTTTTTATTCATCTCACTTGCTCACTACTCTTACACTGAAGTGTTTTATTTCATCTAGTGGCTCATCTGGGGTTCTAGTTTCTACTCATGGCCTCTCGTCTTACACTTGTCCATAGCAAAGAGAATCTTTGCTATTCTATTTTCCAGCGTAATAAGGTCTAGCTCCATCAATGTTCTTAAGTTCAGGAACCAGCAAACGTCTGGATTTTTTTTCTGGGATTTAAGACTTAGATTAATTATTGTGGAACTGTTAGTTTACGAAGAGCTTTCCTTAATCTTTTTGCTTCACAAATACTTTTCAGCTGTATATGTACCTCTAATGTTATCTGGTTAATATGTAACTCCGATAATAGGGTTAGTCTGTATACTTTCAGATATATCTATTTCGTTTGCTCGGAATTTTGGGTGCATTTTTTAGAATCATCAGGGAGATATTTTGTAGTCCTATGAGTATTCCCATAGTAGCATCCTTAACCTGCTTCTTTACTTCGTCTCGGGAGAGAGTAAACTCCCACGTTAAGGTTTACTTTTATGTTTAATTTGGAAATATTTCAGGAAGATTAACATTGCTTTAATTGGTTAACCTATTTAATCAAATGTCTTAATTATTTTGTGTATGCATTGCGAGTTGCTGACATATTATATATAAATAATCGGGACGTTAATAGTTCGTGCAAAAATTTATCGTATAATATTTTTCCTTGGCGAGCTATCATTTAAAAATGTTAAATTTTGGAATATGAGTTTTTTTTTTACTTTTATCATAGGTTGTGAAAACGATTCCGGTCCTGATGAGGATGCAGTGTTGAGGCGTTTTATCTAACTGTAGTTTCCAGAGTATAACCACAGTGGCCCGTCAAACATCCGGCGAAATGCGGAAGGCGCAGGCGACCGTCCTGTCTCACTCCGCCTGGGTTGACTCTGAGTCGATTCTTCAATCCTTCCGGTCCTTGACTTGCGTGCGGGCAGTTTACCCAAGGTAGAGAACATGTTCCTATATTTGTTAATTTAAAACCATCCATTAAACTATGTTGTTTATTTGAGAATTGGTTGTCGTTATATATGGGCGCCGACTGATGCAGCAAAGGCAATTTATGTGTTACCAACTCATGCATTGATATCTCATTAATGGCACAATTTAAATCTTGTGTTATTAATCTTTAACCACACATTTGAGTATTGTTATAACCCATCAGGATAGTAATGATATTTATAATGAAATATGTCCTACCCAGCATGGCATCTTTTCGCAATAGTTTTTCATTGATACAGATTTCATGGATGTTATCCATGAAATCAATCCACAATCAACTACCATGTTTGCCTTGCTTCTCCGTACAGTAAGTATCGTACGATGTCCAAGAGCAAATACCCAAATAATATGTAAGCCAAATACGATAATTAAGAAACAAACTACAATGATCTTTTAGGTATACACTAATACTTCCCTTTACATGGTGGAAGACCATGTAACGTTATGCGTGATAATGACTGTTCAAGAATGTAAGAACTGTTGTATATATAAATAAATAAAAGAGGACGGGTTAACGTGAATGAGCGGCCACGTGTGTAGTTGGGAACTATCTAATAGGCTATCTTGAGATGATATCGGGGCTTTAGTGTCCCCGCGGCCCGGTCCTCGACCAGGCCTCCACCCCCAGGAAGCAGCCCGTGACAGCTGACTAACACCCAGGTACCTATTTTACTGCTAGGTAACAGGGGCATAGGGTGAAAGAAACTCTGCCCATTGTTTCTCGCCGGCGCCTGGGATTGAACCCAGAACCACAGGATCACAAGTCCAGCGTGCTGTCCGCTCGGCCGACCGGCTCCCTTAAGAAAGAACTTGTAATCCAATCACTCGTCCCGTGAGTCGTCTGGCGCCTGATTCGCTATCAAGAGCTTCGAGTGTGATGTGTCATAAACGTTACAAAAAGCTTTTAAGTTTTTAATACTGCCGCCCTCGACCTTGTCAGTGGAGTCAGGCAGCAACCCGCCCCGGAAGCTCTCGCTCTGCATTCTTCTCTATGGTTTAATAACTATAACTGAAAATGGGGATTATTTTTTTAGCATTTGAACTAAAGATTAAATTACAGATATAATTTTGTTTTTGTATTAGTGGGAGATTTTACCGATTAGAAGAGGGTAGAAGTTTCTTATGATTTAGGCTCCGGGCCATGTACTGGACCCGGTTTATAGCAAATACTACAGAGGGTTTGATTATCGGCGGTCCCCTAGGTCGGCGGTCTCCTAGGTCGGCGGTCCCCTAGGTCGGCGGTCTCCTAGGTCGGCGGTCCCCTAGGTCGGCGGTCTCCTAGGTCGGCGGTCCCCTAGGTCGGCGGTCTCCTAGGTCGGCGGTCTCCTAGGTCGGCGGTCCCCTAGGTCGGCGGTCTCCTAGGTCGGCGGTCCCCTAGGTCGGCGGTCCCCTAGGTCGGCGGTCGGCATAAAAACTACCACTCACTGCATGAGTATGGGGTGCACAACAACTACCACTCACACGATGAATATGAGAAGCACTATAACTACCCACTCACAGGAGAAGTATGGGGTGCACAATAACTACCACTCATAGGAGAAGTATGGGGTGCACAATAACTACCACTCATAGGAGAAGTATGGGGTGCACAATAACTACCACTCATAGGAGAAGTATGGGGTGCACAATAACTACCACTCATAGGAGAAGTATGGGGTGCACTATCAACTACCACTCACAGGAGAAGTATGGGGTGCACAATAACTACCACTCACAGGAGAAGTATGGGGTGCACAATAACTTACCACTCATAGGAGAAGTATGGGGTGCACAATAACTTACCACTCATAGGAGAAGTATGGGGTGCACTATCAACTACCACTCACAGGAGAAGTATGGGGTGCACTATCAACAACCACTCACAGGAGAAGTATGGGGTGCACTATCAACTACCACTCACGGGAGAAGTATGGGGGTGCACAATTAACTACCACTCAGGAGAAGTATGGGGTGCACAATAACTACCACTCAGGAGAAGTATGGGGTGCACAATAACTACCACTCACAGGAGAAGTATGGGGTGCACTATCAACTACCACTCACAGGAGAAGTATGGGGTGCACAATAACTACCACTCACAGGAGAAGTATGGGGTGCACAATAACTTACCACTCATAGGAGAAGTATGGGGTGCACTATCAACTACCACTCACAGGAGAAGTATGGGGTGCACTATCAACTACCACTCACGGGAGAAGTATGGGGTGCACAATTAACTACCACTCACGGGAGAAGTATGGGGTGCACAATTAACTACCACTCACAGGAGAAGTATGGGGTGCACAATAACTACCACTCACAGGAGAAGTATGGGGTGCACAATAACTACCATTCACAGAATGAATCAGGTTAATGTGACAGAAGCCATATATAGAAGCCACTCGCATAAAAGTAATCACATTAAGACATCTCGGACGTAGGTTCGAATCCTCTTCACGACCCTTGTGAATTTGTTCATAATCACATTAATCTTGGGTCGTGCGGCCATTTATAATAACCTTAGAAATAACCAAAGATCAAATGTTTTTATATTTTGTTTCTGGCGCTTTTGTTAAGTGACAGGAATAATTATTTCTACGAAAATCCAGTTTAAGAAGTATTACTGTAAATTTTCATCCATCCACTCTGCAGATGTAACATTTAACGTATTGAAAGATTCATTATGGAAATATTTTATCGTAAAAAATGATTCGTGAAAAAATTCACGAGTGAATTTGAAGTTAATGGAATATTTGAAACGCGTAAAAACAGTATAGGCCTATATAACTGTTAAAAAACAATTGCTCTGTAAACTATTAGGCTGCAGTTCTCATATATATGTTATAATAATTACTTTCTCGGATGATAAATGTAAAATTTGATATAGTCACATTGAAGCAATAGCTGCACAGGGAACTAAAACCGCCTTTGGTACCTGCGTACGCACAAAGTTTACTTTTTGTCTCTTACCTTGAAGAAAGGAAGAGGATTACCACGGCCGTAAGGAACCAGCGTAGAATTAAGAATAGTTGGTGGTTAGCGCATCCCGCTCGTCTTATACTCGTGTTGCTGTGACGTCACCGCTGCCAGCCAATGGCGTGCTATATCAGATTCTTGTCGACGAATGGCAACAATTATATAATAGTCAGACTTTTGTGGGATTGGGATACCGTAAGTTTAACTTTACCCAATGGCCTTCCTACCTTGTGCGTTGTCCATTAATAAACGCTTGTTTGGATTGACTGTAATTGTTATATAACCCAAGAGTTTGCGTGCTTGTGTGTTTGTGTGCTAAACTCTATTGCACTCTGCGTCTCGCACTCCCCGGCGTAATGTTTGGCTTAGAGGGAAACGTGTCTGCGTAAAACCTAACCTAGCCTATCCTATCTTATCCTATCCTAACCTAACAAAGCCAGTAATTCATGTCATTTATATTAATATGAATAAACAACATTGAAAAAAATATTTGAAAATAGTTAAAAACGTTATTTGAAAAGTGAGAAAATGTAGTTAGATGTAGTTAGGTTTTGTGTAGTTTTAGCTATTCTCTCAAGTATGCCACAGTGCCAAATTGGGAACAGTTTACCGTGTTCTGTATACAGTATTCTATTGCCATTATATGCACTCTGCTATCTTAATGACTGATATTTACCAGAATTACCCGAGGACCATCATCTCTAGTGGCCTCCACGGGGACAGGAAGCCGGCGGCTTGGCAAGGTCCCTCCATTCTTCTTGATAAGTTTTTCCACCTGTATTTTGAACTGAAATATGGGGTGCATATAGTATTTCTTTATATAGTATAGTATATAGTATATCTTTATAGTATTTCTAAACATAGTAGTTTAGTCCCCTCAGTTATGGAACGAATCTTTTACCACTACCACGCCAAGGCTGCATACTTAAGAATTAGTCTTATGTATGTTGTACACAACCTGAAAATCTTTATCTCTTAAGGTTCACGAAAGCTGTCCAGTCCCTTGCTAGTTCCAAACACGCCGCTGATGTTATTCTGTTGTTATGTGAGCTCCAGGTGATGGTTATGTCTGCTCAGTTTGTCAGGCAGAACTCTTCTTCAGTGGAGCCCCGGTGATGAGTATTCATCAACCCTATATTTTATAGTTGCTCCATGGGCCATTTCCTTATTAAGCTTTTTAGTGCCTTGCAGGGTATGGTGGTCACTGACCTATGTGTGTGTGTACGGGTGCTGGTGTTGCTGTAGTGGTGATGATGTTGTGGTGATGTGTGGGCACTGATGATGTTGTGGTGATGTGTGGGTACTGATGATGTTGTGGTGATGTGTGGGTACTGATGATGTACTGGTGATGTGTGGGCACTGATGATGTTGTGGTGATGTGTGGGCACTGATGATGTTGTGGTGATGTGTGGGCACTGATGATGTTGTGGTGATGTGTGGGCACTGATGATGTACTGGTGATGTGTGGGCACTGATGATGTTGTGATGATGTGTGGGCACTGATGATGTTGTGGTGATGTGTGGGCACTGATGATGTTGTGGTGATGTGTGGGCACTGATGATGTTGTGGTGATGTGTGGGCACTGATGATGTTGTGGTGATGATGTGGGCACTGATGATGTTGTGGTGATGTGTGGGCACTGATGATGTTGTGGTGATGTGTGGGCACTGATGATGTTGTGGTGATGATGTGGGCACTGATGATGTTGTGGTGATGATGTGGGCACTGATGATGTTGTGGTGATGTGTGGGCACTGATGATGTACTGGTGATGTGTGGGCACTGATGATGTAGTGGTGATGTGTGGGCACTGATGATGTACTGGTGATGTGTGGGCACTGATGATGTAGTGGTGATGTGTGGGCACTGATGATGTACTGGTGATGTGTGGGCACTGATGATGTTGTACTGGGGATGCTGTACTGGGGATGTATGGGTACTGGGGATGCTGTACTGGGGATGTATGGGTACTGGGGATGCTGTACTGGGGATGTATGGGTACTGGGGATGCTGTACTGGGGATGTATGGGTACTGGCGATGTATGGGTACTGATGATGCTGTATTGGGAATGTAAGGGCACTGGTGATGCTGTACTGGGGATGTATGAACACTGGGGATGTATGGGTACTGGGGATGCTGTACAGGGGATGTATGGGTACTGGGGATGCTGTATTGGGAATGTAAGGGCACTGGTGATGCTGTACTGGGGATGTATGAACACTGGGGATGTATGGGTACTGGTGATGGTGTACTAGGAATGAATGAGTACTAGTGATGCTGTAGCGGGGACACGTGAGTACTGGTGGTGGTTTAATATGTGAGGGTTGGGGGAGGTGACCTTGAGGTACTTACACAAGGGTCGGGGGGTTAGGGGGGGGGGGTTACTGTGTAACAAGACACCTTGAGTGACACTTATATATCCTGCGTTACAAACAATAAGAAAAAATATAGATAACAAAACACACACACACACACACACACACGCACACACACTCTGAATATAATCCCCTGGTAACAGAAGCCTCTCCTGGAGAGACAAACAGATACCTCCGGTGTTTGTTCTAAACAGCCGTAATTGTCATTGTTAGTGCCGCTGCGAGAGTTATTCACAACCTCTTGATCTGCTAAAAGGACCCCTAAGAACCATGAAGACTGTTGAGAACCGTGGTGTAGCGAGTAGGGTCTAGTACCTGTGAAAATTATGTACCCCTCTACGTCATTCTTACTCTTTAATTAAACAACCTAATCGAATGGAAATAAGAGATATTGTTGTTGTTATAGATTCAGCTACTCGAAACAAGTTCCAAGTAGCACGGGCTATGGTGAGCCCGTAACTTACCTGATACAGGAGCGGGGCAAATTGCACGGGCTATGGTGAGCCCGTAACTTACCTGGCACAGAAGCGGGGCAAGTAGCACGGGCTATGATAAGCCCGTAACTTACCTGGCACAGAAGCGGGGCAAGTAGCACGGGCTATGGTGAGCCCGTAACTTACCTGGCACAGAATCGGGGCAAGTAGCACGGGCTATGGTGAGCCCGTAGTGGACTTACCTGGCACAGGAGCGGGGCAAGTAGCACGGGCTATGGTGAGCCCGTAGTGGACTTACCTGGCACAGGAGCGATGGGGTAAGAGATAAAATGTGTGGTTTATATATGGTGTGGAGGAGCTGTGTGACGTGACTGTCATAATCATGCTGGGACAGGATTTAGATGATAATGGTACAAGAAGCAGCATATCTATAGCGTATACCTCCATATCTCAACACGGTTTGATTTCGCTTTACAATTATGTAATATTATCATCTTCCTCTTTATAAACTGTACACACGACCATAAATGTGTGCAGTATATGTACTTATATTTTATATCAGATAGTTCACAAGTTATTCTAAGCTAAAGATAAATTGACTAATGAATTGCGATAATAATCAGTCGGAAAAAAGTTGCAAGCAAAAAGCTAATTAGGCGTAAGCCTCGACAACTTTCTACTCTAGTCCGCTCCACTTGTTCAAGTTCAAGTATGTTTATTGAGATAAGAAAGAAATACATCTCAAAGGGATAGAGTAGCTTAGGCTATTTCTACCCCCCCCCCCCTCCACTTGTTTACGACTCTTAAACAGAAGAAGTTCATTGTAACATCTCAGTGATATTTGTGTCTCCTGTCTTTAGTTGTGTCACTTCACTTAGAATATTGCTTCACAATCTTCTCATATCTTCTTAGACTCCTGTATGTCGTTATTAAGTCTGCTTTATTCCTTCTTTCCTGCTGTATACTGAGGTTCAGTTCCTCCGTCTTTCTGCATAGCTCAGGAACGAACCTTGTCGCATAATTTCAGACCTTTTCTAGTTTTGTATATTTCCATCCCCAGGATGCAGCCCGTAGCAGCTGTCTAACTCCCAGGTACTTACTTACTGCTAGGTGAACAGGTGCATCAAGTGAGAGAAACTGCCCATTTGTTTCTGCCTCAGTTTGGAATCGAACCAGGACCCTTAGAACTACGATCCCCCCTCCGAGTACTGTCCGCGGCCAAGTGCACACACACACACACACACACACACACACACACACACACACACACACACACACACACACACACACACACACACACACAACCCTGACAAATGCATGGTTACTGTGATATGAATTGAAGCAAGAAGGCCTCGAATACAGTACAGGATGAAGGGAAGGCAACTTCCAACTTCTGTAAAAGATAAAGACTTAGGAGTAGACATAATATGAGATATATCACTATAAGCACACACCAACAGAATAATGACTGCAGCATTACTGACAAATGTCCAGCTATCCTGGTCGAGGACCGGTCCGCGGGGACACTAAAGCCCCGAAATCATCTCAAGATAACCTATATCCTTCATTAACTTGCACAAAGAACCCTTCCGAGCGCTGTACATTCCTTGTGAGGCCCATACTTTAGTATGCTGCCGCGGCATGAAACTCCTACCAAAGAAACACAACAAAACTAAAAAAAAAGTCCAAATATGCAACAAGATTTGTTCGTGAGCTAAGAGGACTGAGCAGTGAAAAAAGACTAAGGGAGCTGAATTTCACTGTAATGGAGAAAAGGAATATGGCAGATTTGATAACGACGTACAAAATACTAAGGGGACTTGACTATGTAGAGAAGCAGTGTTCAGACTGAAGGACAATCGAACGAGACGTTATAACCGGAAACATGAACAAGAGTTGTCAGAATATTATTTTTTCTGTCAGTCATAAATGAGTGGAATGGACTAGACCAAAAAATTATATTAAACAGATACTGGACCCCCGCAAGTACAACCAGTTCAAGTTCAAGTATGTTTATTGAGATAAGCAATAAATACATCTCAAAGGGATAGAGTAGCTTAGGCTATTTCTACCCCCCTACAACCAGTTGAGTACACACAGTCAACGTAGTGCCAGTTAAATAAAGGAAGACAGGTGGCACTAAAGCGCTTTGTCATGGGTTCGTATCCTGGCCGGGGAGGATTTACTGGGCGCAAATCCTTAACTGTAGCCTCTGTTTAACGCAACAGTAAAATGTGTACTTGGTTGTAACAACGATT